CAATAATATTATATCGGATAAAAAATTATGAGTGGAAACGAAAAAGGTGATAAAATACAGTGTGTTCTATTTCGTGACAATTTTATTTATAATATGGGATCAATACTTTAAAAATATTAATTCACTTTAAACCATCAATAAGCAGTTAAGTATTTGCTTTACTTTAAAGTTAGTTAAGTACTGATTTTATTTTTGCTAAATAAAACTGTCAAGGGATTAGTATCCTCATAATAAAATTTGTTACCATTGTTGCGAGTGTTTTATTTTTAAGTGCCTATAACATCACGTCAACTATAAACATTTTATTTGCATAGTAGCTTCAAAAACTGGAAATATGTATATAGCATGTCATATCACGTGAAAGAGTAATTAAAAATGTAAACGAAAAATGTCAATATATATAATATATATATATATATATATATATATATATATATATAATATATATATATATATATATTGTTATGATATGTAAAATCGAGAAAAATATTTGTTGTTTAAAATATTTCAAAATTCAAAACATTAAAATAATTCAGATAAGTAGGATAATACCCAACAAACATTTTGAAGAAGGAAAGTATTTAAAATTTTTGGATTACCTGTATTAAACAAAATGTACTATGCATAAATTATTTCTTTTGTTATACTATACTTGAGTGACCCGCATAATTTTAAGTGAAATCCAAAGAACAATTGAACCGGGTTTTCCAAATACATTAACGCAGTGATTATAGACAATAGAAGAGATTTGGAAAGATGTTTTTGTTAGTTTTTAAGAATTATAGAAAAATATTATTTGTAAATAAGTTTTAGGAAATTTTATAATTATAGGTAAAAATTTGTTTGTTATCGGAATGAAAGAATGGGGAATTGTGACGAGTTTTGATTGGCGGAGATTAAAAAAAGGTGGGATAGGTATGTAGGAATGAAAGTTTAGCTAGATTGAGGAGAGAGAAAAGATAATCAGTTGGTTTCCAAGGGTGCAAGGCGAACGGCCGTTGTTCTCGGGTAGTTTCCCAGAGGTAGGAAGCAGTAGCAGTGAAAGTTTATGAGTTTTCGTGTAGTTAGTGTATCTGACAGAAGCTGATCCAGTAAAATATTGTAAGTCATATTTTTCTACTTATATTCCAAGAGTCACTGTTCAGGCCAACGAGAGATTCAGTTTATCGTAAAGAAAAGATATTCCAAGAGTCATTTTTTCACTCAGGCCAACGAGAGATTCAGTTTATTGAGAGAAGAAGAAGCTAGCATAATTTGAACGATTCGTGCATTTGAAGGAGATCATTAAGGACGAGATACTTGCAATAATTTATTGTAAGATTGCTGATTACTTAGGGAGCGGCCACGAGTAAATAGTATAGTCTACAAATAACAAGGATTTGGACCACTCATCATCAGAGAGAGATAGTTTTGTTTTCTGTAGTTTTTCTTTCATTGATAACACAATTTTTACACTTAATTTAGAAAGGATATTAAATATTTTGATTAGGAGATTTAGAGTAATACTTGGATTTTGAGATTTCAACTAATATTGTTTGTACCATTAATTTTGAAGGTTCACGTACGTAGAACAAAATTTTGAGAATCATTATATGAGATTTTGTTTATTGAAAACTTTTGAGTGTGAATTATTTCATTATTTTTATTTCAATATATAGTGTTAGATCATATGTGTTTTTTATTATTCCGGTATTCTTTGGACCTTACCTTTCACATGTAATAGCATAGATATTGAAGCACGAATTTAACCCTGAGATAAAAGAATTAAAAATTGTGATAGAGTCATAATCATATCATTTAAATAATTTTAATTAATCAAAAAAATTAGCTAATTATTGCTTGGCGCACCAAGACTTTAAATATCACAATAATATATAATATATATATATATATATATATATATATATATATATATTATATATATATATATATATATATATATATATATATATATCCCATATAAATAAACATAAGTTGGTATTATAATTCCTTAGTGAACCCCCTAAAAAAATTTCTCGTACCCATAATGTATCTATCAAAAATTCATATTAGGTTTTTTAAAATATTTCTTAATGAAGAAGATATTTAACCCTGCCGTTTTTGACATTTCCCAATAATCGACCTATATCTCGCTAATGTGGTGAGCTACTGATGATTTGATTGGGCAATCGTTACTTTAACAAAGAAAGAAAGTAGTTAAGATGACATGACATCTTAACTAATTTTTTTCTATCCTCTCTAGTTTTCGGTATACCCTGCAAACATACCAATTTGGGACATCCTCTACTGTCCGTTCAAGAGAGACCCTGCCTCCAATATATCAAAACAAAATACTCTAAATTATTATTTTACAGCAAATGGCACACGAACTAGAGTATGTAAACTTATGTTTTTAAACACACTTAGTATATCAAACACTGTGGCGGTTAATGTTTTTTAAAGATATTAAACCAGTTGGAATTGTACAAAGTGATCAAAGAGGTAAGCAAATTCCTGCGAATAAAACACATGACAACACTATTGAAAGTGTAGTAAGACACATTTCTTCTTTCTCAACTTATTGAAGTCATTACAGTGTGGAAAAAAGTAATATGAAGTATTTGGGCACGCACCTAAACGTGAGAAAATGTATGAACTGTATATAAAGAATTGTAATAACAATCATTTCAACCCTATGTTAAGAGCTACAAATGGCAATAAACAAAAAAAGTGACTTTCACACCACCAGAGATAGATACATGTGACTTTTTTCAAGCAAAAGGAAAAAATAATTTGTCTCCAGATTAAAAAAATCTGTTGAAGAAGACCATAATGCACATCTGGATTAATCTAAATTAAGGTATGATTTGTAAAGCGAGGACACCAAAAAGACTAACAATACCTTTAAGATATTAACTGGTGATCTGTAAACATATTTGCCATCACCCTTTGTAGCAAGTTGCATAAGCTTTTACAAGAGAAACTTTGGACTTTGCATTACACCTTGTATAATTCTTCTGATTCGTCAGTCCATTGCATTATGTGGGATGAATCCAAAGAAGCTTGTGATGGAAATGAAATCGGATCTGCATTACTGAAATGGGCATATACCATCATTCCTGGCAATAAATAGAAGAAATCATACTATGGTTGAACAATTGTTAGGGCCAGAATAAAAATGTTAGCATTAGTGTGTGTTTCTTTTGGATACCCAATAACTATCCTCAAGTAAAAATTATCACTCACAAGTTTCTACGAAAGGGTCGCACCCAAATGGAGGCAGGCACACTCATGTGCTGATAGAGCGAAACTGAAAAAAACTTAATATCATGTGTATTTAAATGCCCTGGGAATGGTAGCACTTAGTTAGACAAACTTCAATGAAATATACCGTACATAATATGGAACTAGATTTTATAATTTTAGGTCTTTGTATGACTATCAAAACATCCCAAAATCCGCCTGTTATTAATAGAAAAAGAGATATCAACAAACAAAAAGTTCTTCTACAAACTGTGTTTAATTGCAAGTAAAACAAAACAGCATGGGGGCCTCTGTTCTTGAAAAGTAATTTTCATGATGAAAACCAGGACATTTACCTTGTTAGATTTGAAGGTGACACCTTACATGGCCAAAACAAATGCAACTGCAACTGGTATCACAAAGTCCAATACCTATATCACAACAAAAGTTATTGTCATATCGTCAGTGAGCTAGCAATTTCTATTATCTGCATTTTTTATGAAAATGAGTTATCAATGAATTTGGAATTCTGCTTACACCAAAGAATCATCCGTACAAGTCCTATGAACAAGAAAAATGTCTAAATATATAAAACACTACTTGCAATTTCTTCTATCTAAATTCACGCAGTAAACTATATGCAATGTCCTATCTTGTTAGTTTATGTGGTGTAATCACAGGGTATTGAATGCAATTAGACTGTGAGTTGTTTTTCAACAAAATACGATATTCCTGGTAAGTTTCACAAGATATTATGTACATATTAAAGACATCTTGTCGTTTTGGGAAAATACCCAAAGAAAAAGTGAAATGTGTAGGTCACAATGCAGGTGCTAATATGAAAAAAGGTGTTAACTTAATTAAATGTTGAACATATTCACTGTGCTTCTCACAAGCTTCAAACTGTGTTAAAAGCAGGGATGAAGGCTGAAGAATCTGTTGTGGCTGCCATAAGAAAATGCAAAAAGATGGCAACTCATTTTCTACATTCGACTGCTGCCCAAGAAGAGCTGACCAATCAAAAAAGGTAAGTTTCACAAGATATTATGTACATATTAATGGTAATATTATGTGATTATAAAATCTAAAGTAATAATATTCTAAACTAAAATGATAAACATAGACGAAAATCTAGTTTTTATAATTTCTTGCAGATAGGAGAATTTGCAAGTAGGCAACAAGTAGTGATTAACTGATAGGAGAATTTGTGTGTCTCAATAAATGTATAGTAAGCAGAGAAGAATATGAATCATTTAAATAATATGCAGCTTCTGTGAAAATGCAGACTATTGTTAACAAACTTCATAAATATCTGATATTCGTAGTACTGGATCAGATGAGAAACATATTTCCAAAACAAATAATACCTACCTAGTCTATCATAAAACTCTAGATCTTTTGGACTAAAATATATATCATAAGGTATACACAAAAGATATTTCAGGTTGCAGAGTGAAAAGGTTAGTGATGCTAAATGACATCTCGAAATTTACAATCCACAATATAATTTTTAATTGTGTGTGGTTTCACTAATTTTTTTAAATTAACATCTTTAAGAGAACTCAAATTATTTAAAAACGTTACTTGTATAAAGGACCAAGAGATATCAACATTCCCAATATGTTACTATATCTCAAATTAATTGCAGTTAAAAGTTTAACTACTGTTCTCAATTACACAAATTGTTTCAAAACCACTAAATAAAAGATGTCAAATTGTTTGTTTCTCATGTTACTATTTTTTCATTCCTATTGGAAACTAACTAATGTTAAAATTACCTCTAAACTAACACAAGATTTTAAAATTGAGGCATAATCTCTTGAAGAAGGTTTATGTAGGTCAAATATATTCTTTCCGGCTTGTTCTTTTAAACAAGTTCTACACATTTTATCAGATAAAGTTATTGCTTCTGTATCCATTTCATTGGCACATGTTTTTTTCTATTTTACAGGGTTTAAATTAATTATTTTGGTTCAATAACACAGATTTTGATTTATTGAGGTTATGTATTATGTATTTATTTGTTCGTTCTGACGTTCCTAGTTCTCTGCTTTTGTGTTGCGTGTTGCCTACATTTAAGACATTTTGTTAACTGGTATTGATATTAAACCACAAGAGTTCTATTAAACAATGTAAAATCATTAAAACTGGGGAGTTGATGAAGAATCTGTCCTTAAAATACATGGAGCGTTAATTTGCTCTAAACTAGATTATGGCAATATGGCAATATATAAAGTCTCTAATATACACGATTTAAAATACATCCCTACGACTATGTCTTGGCGCTTTCAAATCAAGTTTCGCTGTAAATGTTTGTGTTGAATTTTCAGAGCCACTACTCCACCTAAGAAGGCAGCAACTTCACTTTTATATTTTGTAAGAATATCAGCAAACTCAAGTAACCCGGTAATAAATCTAATCAATCCCATAGAACCTCGTTCAGAAAACACATTCAATCACTCATTCACATTACCACAAATATTATCTCCTTTATTAGATTCCATCAACCTTTCCAATACTAGGTACTTCTATTTTATACCTCCAAGACAGCTCCATCGATGAACAATCTTCCAATATTCAATACTGATTTATGCAGATTCAACGCAACAGAAATCACAAAACTCCTTCTAAACTAGAAAATCCTTCCAAAAAATCCTCAACCTAATACAATTTGATGAAATTTTGTACACCGATGCGTCCAAGAATAAAGATTGTTGTGGCTGCGCTGTGTCCACATTGAGGACGAGAATAAGCTCTGTGCGACTGAAGTTGTAGTATCTACATCGCAGAATTATATGGAATACTAAAAACATTACAGACTTCAATCCATCCTACTTCAAATGAAAGCAAAACAATTGTCATTTGTACTGTTTCTATTTCCTCGATTCATTCTATAAGATGCATCTTCTCTAAAAATCCACTAGTCCAGGAAATACACACCATCTGTAACCAACTATATTCTGCTAACAATAACGTCATATGATCTGAACTCCATCTCATGTTGGTATATTGGGAAACGAAAAAGCAGATCAGGCCGCTAAAGCAGCATAATCTTCTGACTTAGCCTTTAAAGAGGTCCAAACCTGCATGAATTTTACGATATTGATAAAACAAAAAATCCTCAGCTTATAGGAAGACTTGTAGAATAAAACAAAAAATAAGCTTCATGACGTTCAACCCAACTTATCCCGCGTCAATATGTCCTCATGAACAGGAAAGAAAAATCAGTTATTCGCCGACTACGAATAGGGCATACCTACACGTCTCACACATTGATACCTTATGGCATCAGAAAACCCTCCAGTAAACCACTACTGTAATACCCCCTTTCCATTACACACGTGATAGTGGACTGCTACCAGTATGATCCTTCTAGACATTCTTAGTATTCCAAACCGTTTTAACAGTGTTTTTCAATTTTTAAAAGAAACAAGTTTAATTCAGCGAATTATAAACAGTGCATAGTGATATAAACAGTGCATAGTGAATAAGCTTTATTGTTCATATCAAAAAATTGGTTTTTCTAAATTAAAAAATATGTGCATTACTAACAATTTCTAACACATTAACTTTATATGCTTTAAATTCAAAGGGGGGGGGGACAAAGGTGTAGGATGCGAAAATATGGAGTTGATTCCAGTTTACTCCACTTCTACTCTTCTACTCAAATCCGACTCTCACCTTCACGTTGGTGTGCTGACAGTGGATCGGCAACTGACAAGGGGGGTAAACTGGTTCTACAGGTTGGAGGTTGGGCAGTGGGTTAACACCCTCCTCCTGTAAAAATTCTTCTGTTACGAAGCTTTAAAACAATCAGCGGACGGATTTTTTGTCGACGACTTGGCAAACGAAATAAGGTTAATGATAAAGTTAATGATATTTGTTTATTTACTTGGAATGTGCGTACGCTTTATAGTGCAGGTAAATTAAGAAGTCTGTCCAATACACTTAATGAACATTCAGCAGACATTATAGCACTTCAAGAAATCATGTGGACAGGTAGTGCTAGCCTAAAAAAAGACTACACTCTCTACTACAGCGGAGATGAAAATAATCATATTTTTGGCGTGGGATTCATACTGAATAAACGACTGAAATCAGAAGTCATAGCTTTCGATCCAATTAATCCAAGATATGTAGAATCCGAATTAAAGGCAGGTTCTTTAATTATAACATTATTAATATCCATGCTCCCACTGGAGATAAAGAAGACAAGGAGAAGGAAATATTTTACGAGAAACTGGAAAGCACTGACAGACAATATCAGAACAACGACATAAAAATTATTATTCGCGATTTTAACGCTAAAGTCGGCCAAGAGACTATTTACCGACCCACGATCGGCGACATAGTCTTCATGCTGTCGGCAACTAAAATGGTTTACGCCTAATTGAACTCGCAGCATCATTGGGAATGGTGGTAGTAAGTACATGTTTTGATCATAAAAATATCCATAAAGCCACATGGCAATTACTAGGCGGTCAAACAAAAAAACAAATTGACCATGTACTAATTGATAGTCGACATTTATCGGACGTACTAGATGTAAGAGCATGTAGAGGTGCTAATATAGACTCTGACCACTACCTTGTAAGAACAAAACTCAGGGCTCGTATATCAAACGCTAAGAAGGGCCAGAGCACAAAACCTACAAAATATAATATTGATGTGCTAAAATCTGAAGACGCTAGGGATAACTACAGGAAAATTTTAAATGAAGAGCTGACAAAAATCAACGAAAATTTAAAGAAACTCTGGACCAAATGCAAGGAGGCTATCCATACAGTTTTTTTTTTTTTTTTTGTTTAATAAAACTCCAACAGGAATCTTATGACTATTGCTATCTGATCATTCACTATGATCAATAAGCAAGTTAGTTCTATATATAAATATTACAAGAAACTTATCTAAGGTTATATTCAGCAATATTCCTTAGGCTCTAATACATTATGGTACTACTAGCTAACGTGTACACTTTAGCCGCACTTTACTCTGCTTTTTCACTTTCACTCACTTATAGCACTAAATCAAACGGCTTCGTTCTCTTTAGTCTTCTTATCTGGTTGGCGTTGTCTAGGAGTTTGATGGCCTCGACGTTCACGTGGTTGGAGAGCCTCTGTTCATGACTCTCGGCAAACTTACTTATTGTCTGGATAACTGTATCCATCTGGTGGTCTCGATGAAGATCACAGTTTCTAAAGTACCATGGAGCGTTAACGATGTTCCTTAATACTTTATTCTGATATCGTTGTATATGTTGGATGTTGCTTTCTTTTGTACAGCCCCATAGCTGTATTCCGTATGTCCATATCGGTTTAAGGACTTGCTTATATAATAGCAATTTGTTGTAAATAGACAGAGTGGATTTTTTTCCATCAACCAGTACATCTTTCTGAACTTAATTTCTAATTCCTTCTTTTTTTTCTTAACATGTGCTTTCCAACGTAGCTTGGAATCTAACGTCATACCCAAATATTTTGCCGTATTTGCATAAGGTATTTGGTTTCTATTTATATGTACTGGGATATGTTGTTCTCTTTTGTTAGTAAAATTGACATGAACAGATTTTGTTTCATTCAATTTGATACGCCATCGGTTGGTCCAGATGTTAATTTGTTCAACAGAGTTCTGTAACATGGTAGCTGCATCCTCGTGGTTTTGTCCGACTGCTAGTATGCATGTGTCGTCTGCAAATGTCGCAATTGTGTTAGGTTCTAATGATGGAATATCGCTGGTATAGAGCAGGTATAGCACTGGCCCCAGGACACTTCCTTGTGGAACTCCAGCTTTAACTTCTCTTAATTCTGAATATGCTTCCTCATATTTAACTCGAAAGTATCTGTCTGATATATATGATTCTAGTAGTTCAGAATATTGTTTTGGTAAGTAGCATCTCATTTTATGATATAGTCCATCATGCCACACCTTGTCAAAAGCCTGCGCTACATCGAGGAAAATTGCGGAACAAACTTTTCCTTCTTCTAGAGCTTTTTCTATGATATCTGTTATTCTATGCACCTGATCTATCGTTGAGTGGCTTGCTCTAAACCCAAACTGATAATTAGGAATTAAATTTTTTTCCTCTATAATCGGTTTTAGTCTCTTCAAGAGTAATTTTTCGTATAATTTAGACATGACAGGTAACAGTGAAATAGGCCTATATGAAGAAGCTTCTTGTGGAGGTTTTCCTGGTTTTAGTGTCATTATAATTTCTGCCACCTTCCATATCTTTGGTACGTACCTCAACCTAAAGGAAGCGTTTATAAGATGTGTTAATTTTATAATAGCTTTCCTTGGAAGTTGCTTTAACACTTCCCCAGTAATTAGATCAAATCCAAGAGCTTTCTTTGGATTTATATTTTCTTTTATTTCCAAATATACTTCTTTTGGAGTTACAAGGCTAATCTCCATTTCGTCTTGATCAGGGAGCTCCCAGTTTATTCTTTCTTGTTCTTCATTTGGTTGAAAAGTATTTTCTAGGTGGTCAGCAAACCTGTTGGCCTTTTGTATATTGCTTCTTGCCCAGCTACCATTAGTATTTCTAATTGGTGGATACTGTAAGATTGGCCTTTTTAATCGTTTAGTAGCCTCCACAAAGAGTAATCAGTAGCGCTATCATTTGATAGTTCACTTAGGTAAATGTTAACCGATTCGTTTTTTAATTTTTTGTATTTCTCTTTTTAATTTTTGTGTGGCATTATTTAATCTAGTTTTATCAACTGGTGCTCTAGACTGATGCCACTTGCGTCTTAGTTTTCTTTTTTCGGTTATCATTTCTCTGATTTCTTTCGGGTAGTTATTACCTTTTATTCTTTCGACACTGTTCGTGCTGTTGTTCCAAGCAGCTTGTTGTATATTTTTATTGAGTAATTCTACTTCTGCTTCTAGTTGATCAATGGTTCTTAATGGCACTGAGAGGTTAATCTTCTCTTCAAGGTCTATCTGGAAGCTTTTCCAATCAGTATTTTTGTTAACAAGTCTAGGGGGGCTTTCTTTTTGA